GCGCGCACCACCACCCCCCCCCCCCCCCCCCGACTGTACCAATGGCTTTCAACAAAGTTTTAATCAGACACGTTATGGTTTCTGCACCCTATAAATGGTGCACTCTAATGTAAGCGCTTCAGTGTAGCATAGTTATTAGCTGCAGATCTGCACCTGGTTTTTACCACGAGCATATCTGCACATTGGGCTAACTCCCTGTGATATACGTCTGGAAAAGACATTTAACAGAGGGAGACTGAGCCTTAATAAGCTGTCTCTTCGCTTCCTACTCCCCTCTGCTTTACTAGAAGGCAGCCAGCTGGTTCCCTATATTGACTGCCCGGATGGAGAGCTCTGTTCTGCTCTGCTGCCTGCACTTCTCTCTCCCCCTGGTGATCACTTCCTGAACATAGGAGAGAAAGCAGTAGAAGCAATACAGTAAGCTGCCATAACTTGCTATATCCATCCCTGCACAGTGACAGTGCGGTGGGTATGCACTGTCACTGTTTAATGTGCCCCTAATAAATCGAGGTCCCTAAGGGTTTTTTCGGTTTATTAGGGGCACTATGTGCGTACAAATATACTGCACCATGTATAGTTTATCGGGCCCAAAGTCTAAAGGCAAAGAGCGTCTGTGCCTCCTTGACCAGCAAACAGCCACCGGTCTACACTTCTCATGGACACTACTGTTTAAAGACAGGGGCAGAGGGCATGTTGTCTCTTAGTTTCCCTTCAACTCGCGGTTTCTTTTAAAAAAGGATGCACTAAGGGCCATACCGGACAAGGGATTCTTCTCCAGACAACACTGCAGAGTCAAACTTATACTCTACTATAGAGTCTTTCGCTACTTGACCCATCAATATGGATGCTGCCAGAAGTGCTTGTTTGCTCCTCAACCTTTTCCAAGGAGGACTGGGAAAAAAAGGAGACATCCCTAGAGGAAGCTTCCTGTTGTGCCCTTATGTCTAGCTATCAACCAGCCCTGGTCAGATGTACTGTTCTCCATGATAACTGGATTTATACATAGAGACATAGAAAAAGCATTGTTTTCAATCTGTCAGACTTGATTGGAAGACTTGCATTGTGAGAGGAACAGAAAGGCCCAATCTCTGTGGCCATACTACTGAGCTGGTTAATGACCAAAAATGTCTGCCTTGTCTACATGCATTTATTTTACACACTATACTTGTAATATATAACAATGTAAAGGTAATGTATAGTGGTTGTAAACAATGTATTTACTCATTGCAGCCAGGACTAAGAAGGGTAATATTAATCTATTTCATTTTTGGTAGTTAAATAAATATACATTTTCTTTGCAAATGAATATTATGTAGTCTTCTGTCCACCCAGCAGATGGAGCTCTAGCCTTCTTTCCCCAACTATGTGACATACATATAGTAATCCATACATTAAAGGAGAACTATGAGGTGAGTGCTAGTTCTAGCCGACCTGTGACAATGAGACTGTCACAGGTCGGCTCAGTAGATCGGGAGGTGAGCCGTGACAGGGGAGGGGCTGGATTCCCCCCTCCGCGCTCCGATCCACCAGCGCTGACTGGCGGAACGGACGGGGGAGGGGGCGGGTACAGCTGGCTCTGCCTCTAGATAGGCAGAGCCAGCTGTCACTCACGCAGTTGGGCGGATCCCGTCATCTAAGTCGGGATCCGGCTGCGGCGTCTCAGTATACCGCGAGCTGTAGCTCGCGGTATACTGAGCTTAGGGTAACGGGAGGACCCCATAGTTCTCCTTTTAAGAGTAGAGATGAGCCTAAGCTTGGTGCAAACCCAGTTCTTCTGACCTAAAAATCATGATCTGTGAACTAAAACCTTCCAGCTGAATGCAGTCAGGGTTAACGGAGTGTAGGCTATATGTGCAAAATCAAAGGGTTTGAAATGGGTCATGATGGGTCTGGCAGTGATGGCAACATGGCCAAAGTGAGGCTCCCATGTCTATGGCCAACCTGATTGCCAAAACCTTCCAGCTGAATGCAGTCAAGGTTCTTGGATTCTGGGCTATATGTGCAATATAGTTTTGAAATGGGACATGATGGATCTGGCAGTGAAGGGAACATGGCCTAAGAGGCTTCCACTTCTATAGCCAACCTCCCAGCTGAATGCAGTCAAGGTTCATGAATTCTGGACTATATGTGCAAAATCAAAGGGTTTGAAATAGGTCATGATGGATCTGGCAGTGAGGGCAACCTGGCCAAAGGGAGGCTTTCACATCTATAGCCGACCTGATTGTAAAAGTGTTTGTAAAGTACTTCAATATTTTGTATGTATGGTTAGCCAGGCATCTCATCCTGGACCAGCCTATGCAGGTCTAATGTTAGGGGTTAGAATTTGGTCTGTAACTCTTGTTCTTGTTTTCTCCTCTCTCTGAAATGCATGGTTGGCATGATGGCATGATGTCCTCCTATAACACAGAAGACATGGTTTAGTCTAACAATCTTCCCCTCCTCCTGTTTATTTTATACTACTTGCATGTAGTGTAACCTGTTTCCATTGTATTCCTCTGTAGGGAGAACCACAGCGAGATCGAGCGAAGGAGGAGAAACAAAATGACAGCATACATCACAGAATTGTCCGACATGGTGCCCACCTGCAGCGCCCTGGCTCGCAAGCCAGACAAGCTCACCATCTTACGAATGGCAGTGTCGCATATGAAGTCTTTAAGAGGCACAGGGAATACGCCTACAGATGGCACCTATAAGCCATCCTTCTTGACTGATCAGGTATGTCATGACTTGTATACCAACCAGCTGTCTCAGACATTTCGCTAAAACATATTTGTATATATGAAGGTTCTCTATTTGTTTTTGAAGAAGGTAAGCTGTTAAGAGCAGTTGGGGATAGTTTGTGTTTTTCAAGGCAATTAATGGACAAGTAGACTTTCAGTGCTTATCCTTTATTCTTATTTGTCCTTGCAGCCTACCCAAAATAAAAATGAGTGGCACAGAGTACCTATTTTGACCATACACAGGAATTTTAAATACAGAGAAGTTCAGCCTTGAAGCAGTCTGTATACATCTTCTCTTTCTGCAGCAGCTGCTCCCGGCCTACAATAGGGGGTGCTAAAGAAAAGGGGGCGAGGGGAGACTGCCCCTTTGTCCCAATGTAAAGTCCATTTTTACCTGAATTCCTCTTTTATTGGTGGCCAGCAGCAGAAAACGCTATTGTAAACGCAGTGCTTCCAAGAAAGGAACTTAATTCCTACACCAGTGAAGCCCTACAGAGGTTCTAACCTTCTCTACTCTATTAGAAATGTAAGGCTGAAGTTTAATGTGCTTGTGGTTTGCCTTACCTGGTTCCTCCTTTCCATCTTCATCATCAAGTTAATTACGTTTTTGAATATAACTTTTCTGTTTTCATTCCATACCTTATTGTAGACCCAGTGATCACCTATTCATCACTGGGGTTCTGTGCTTCTCTTTGCAATGCAGGCAGATCATGGCTGGTGGTAGGGTCCGGCAGGATGGTGTGCATGGCATCCTGAAAACATCCCAGCACTCTGCTTCGGTACTCTTCTCAAGAGCGCTCAGCGTTGATGGAAAGAGTGAGCTTTTGGGAGGAGTTATGCAAATATCAAAATGCCATGATGGGTAGATGTCAGTCTGGAGGACTGGGCATTGATTGGTCATGATTGATAAATTTTATTTGGATAGTGCTTGTTGAATTTAACACACAATCCCATCCCTTTCAGACAAAAATGCTTACAGCTAAATCTTTTACATAGTTTATGGAGTCCAGAGGTTATCTATAGTAGAAGTGCTCTTCCCTACGTCTAATCCTTTAATCCTCTTTATTACAGCCGGTCACAGGTAATATGTGAAGTGATTAGAGCACTCAATAATGTGCATCACTCTCACCTCTGGATGTCTGGACCAGTAGCTTAGAACATTCCATTTAAGCTGCAGGTCGATCAGCTATTCTGTCAGCCAATAAAGTTCTGGCTGGATCAGAAAATCTCTCATGTCTCCAGCCCTAGGTAATGTGCGAAACCACATCCTCCATGTTTGAACTTCAGGGAAAGAAAGATTCACTCTTACAGTGGGTCCCCCTTCCTACTACAAACGTTATCTGGTCATGCCTAGGAAATGAGGAATAAGGTCATATAAACTGATCAGCCATAACATTATGACCACCTGTCTGATATTAAATAGGTCCCCCTTTTGCTGCCAAAATAGCCCTGACCTATTGCGTCATGGACTCCACTAGACCTCTGAAGGTATGCTGTAGTATCTAGCACCAAGTCGTCAGTAGCAGATCCTTTAAGTCCTGCAAGTTGTGAGGTGGGGTCTCTATGGATCCATGGACATCCCACATGTGCTCATTTGGATTGAAATCTGGAGAATTCGGAGGCCAGGTCATCACTTCAAACTTGTGTTCCTCGGACCACAAGGGGTGTACTTGATCAGCAGCAATGTTTAGGTTTCCCAGCAGAATGTTGCTCAAAACATCACACTGCCTCAGCCAGGTTGCCCTCTTCCCATAGTGCATTCTGGTGCCCTCTCTTCCCCAGGTAAGTGATGCACATGTACCTGACCATCCACATGATGTAAAAGAAAACGTGATTCATCAGACCACGCCACCTTATTCCATTGCTCCTTGGTCAGATATGCTCACAAGCTCATTGTAGGCGCTTTTGCCTGTGGACAGGGGTCAGCATGGGCACCCTGACCGGTCTGCAGCTATGCAGCCCTATATGCAACAAACTGTGATGTACTGTGTGTTCAGACACCTTTCTATCAGAACCAGCATAAACGTTTTCAGCAATTTTGATTTACAGTAGCTCTCCTATTGGATCAGACTACACGGGCCAGCCTTCCCTCCCCACGTGCATCAATGAGCCTTGACCACCTAGGACCCTGTTGCCGGTTCACCAGTTTTCCTTGCTTGGACCACTGTTAGTAGGTCCTGACCAACTGCAGACTGGGAACATCCTAAAATAGCTGCCGTTTTGGAGTTGCTCTGACCCAGTCATCTAGCCATTGCAATTTGTCCCTTGTCAAATTTGCTCAAATCCTACCACGTGTCTATTCTTTCAACTTCCAGGACAAAATGAATGCTTGCTACCTAATATATCTCATGCACTTCCAGGCACCATTGATAACCAGTGTTATTCACTTCACCTCTCAGTGGTTATAATGTTATGGCTGATCAGTGTAGTTTAGCTTGTTTCTCACTCCCTTGACAGCTGGCACTCTCTGCCAGTGCTCAATGCTCCAGAATGTTGGCGGACCCTTGGTGTCCTCCCTTGCAGTCTCGGACTGCTGGATCTGCATTTAATGGGATTGTTTCAGAAGGTGCCTAAGACACAAAGTTTAATCTGGGATTTTTCTTGTGTAGGAGTTGAAGCATCTGATCTTGGAGGCTGCAGATGGTTTCTTGTTTGTGGTATCCTGTGAGACGGGCCGGATTGTCTACGTGTCCGATTCGGTGACTCCAGTTCTCAATCAGCCCCAGTCGGAGTGGTTTGGAAGCTCATTGTACGACCAGGTCCATCAAGATGATGTGGACAAACTGCGAGAGCAATTATCTACAGCGGAGAATGCCATGACAGGTAAGGTACCATGGTGCTAATAATATGATCCACGTGTGGCTGTTACCTGGGCATTGTGTAACATAACTGTCCTCTTACCTGCAGGTCGTATCTTGGACTTAAAAACCGGCACAGTGAAAAAAGAGGGCCAGCAGTCCTCTATGAGAATGTGTATGGGTTCCCGGAGGTCGTTTATCTGTAGGATGAGGTAAATGTTTTCTATTGCCGACTGGATTAGCTATATTAACACTTACAATGAAACGCCAGGTAAAATAACAGTGTGTGTATGGTATGTGTGTGTGTGTATGGTATGTATATACCATACATATATATATACCATAATATATATATATATATATATTTTTATGTAATTGTAAAGACATAGAAATAAATGAAAAATATGTATATAAACTATTTAGTGATTGGTTAAAAAGCAAAGATAGAGTATTTGCCTTGTCTGCTCTTTTTGTTTGTCATCTGTGTCTCATTGGGGATATTTCCCTTCACCTCCTGTCTGAGAGCTACAGCAGGAAATGAGAGGAAAACCCTCCAAAAGAGGGAAATCCATGGTGGTCAGTAGGCCACCAGAACTAGTGTCCTCACGTAAAGATTTCCCATCTTTTCCTCTTCTGGTGACAACACAAAATTTTGGATTTTCTTTCATTCTCAGTGACAACGGTCACCAGGACAAATAGGATGAATCTCTGCAGCCAGTCCCCAGTTTCCTGTTGCAATTGTTTGCTATGTTGCTCAGCCTTCAGTTGGACTGTTTTGGATGTCTCAAAGGTGAATGATTGCCTGTGTCCCTCAATGGACAAGAAAAAATGTGTGTACTCTCCATGAAATCCTTTTCTTGGAATCTATGCACCATGTTGAGACCCGTGTCCCTCAATGATCATGTTCTTGGTACAGCTTTGTTACAAACTGAGGTATGTTGGTAGTAGGTGGGGTCATCCTGGGCTGGCCTACAGTTTCGTTTGCCAGTGCCCAGCCCTTCCGTAGGTAGCAGTATAACACGAAGGTTAAAGTGTTCTGGTGTCCATAATCGGACTCCAAGAAAAGATTTTTATGGTGAGTACAAAAATCCTATCATTTAGATTCAGCTGACCACATATTCTGTATAGTCAATCTACTGCACAACCTGTCCAATGTCCACTCAGATCGCAATGCACTGTACTCCTCTGGGGTGAGGGGTCTCATACTCTATGTTGGTCCTGTATTCAATCGAGGTCTTTACTAAAGTTTGTGAAATATGTTACCTTCTTCAGGTGCGGAAACACTTCTGTTGACTCGACCTCCATGAACAGGCTGAGTTTTATGAGGAACAGATGCAGGTAAGTCCTTCGTGGTTTGTATTGCTTGTCACCCATTTTGTAACAATGTCACATTATTCTTATTATGTGGAATTTCTGTTTCAGAAACGGTCTGGGCCCACCCAAGGACGGAGAGCCACAGTTTGTGGTTGTACACTGCACAGGGTATATCAAAGCTTGGCCACCTGCAGGTAAGACTGTCATTATTTGTAGGAGTAAAGAACACTATTTTACATACCCTTTGTGACTAAATTAAAGCGGAACTTAAGTCAATACCAGTCTAATAATATACAGCATATGTAATGTAAACATGCTATTTTTAGTAAAGATGTGTTCCTGCATATATCTCAGGTCCTGCTATGTATGTCCATGAACACGTTCCAAGTCGCCATGTTTGTCGGACGTAGAAACAGGCAGAGCAATCACATCCTGGTTTCATGGTCATTGCACATACTACTTGTGCATAATATGTGATGTGATAACTCTCCCACACTTTCCATTGTTCCTGGCCTTATGAGCACTGCCCTCGATCTATGTCTGCCTTACACTGTCCCTTTGCTTCTTTCTCCTGCATTGCCTCACTGTGTGTCTTCAGCACAACCCTGTTGCATGTCCCTTCTGCACTGTCTCTGCTGTTGTGCCTCCTCTGTATGTCTCTGCTGCAGTGCCTCTGTTTGTCTTACCTGTAGTGCTCCTGCTTTCTGTCTCCTACACTGGCCAAAAATGCTGCACAAGCCGTCCGAGGTCCTGAGATATCCGCGAATGACTTCGGCAGACCAGGATCTCCAGGTAACTTCTCCCTGCTCTGCTGACCTGGGAGACCTTCTCATTCTTGGCATTCTTCTGGTGCCGGGACTTGGAGAGTCCTGCGGATGTGTAAAGAATAAATCTGATTATCTTCTATAAGGTACATTTCTTTGCTTACTGCACTGCATAGGGATCTACAGTCCAGTGTTTACATATATTTTCGTTTTTTGACTAAAGTTCCGCTTTAATTTTAATTAGGGAAATGGGGAGTTATAAGTTCACCTGCTGCATGCTTGGTCTGGTTTGGCAACTCAATGATAGAGACAGGTGACCAGTATTCTTAGGACATCAGAGTAGGCAACATATTTTTTTAAAAGAACCTGCTACTGAATTGCTTGGAACTCTGCGTTCCTTAAAGGATAATTCCACCCTTTGCAGAAAAATAAAACATGCACACTGCTTCATAAAAGAAAATATGTGCAGTTATTTTTTGCATTGGTGCCAGTAAAGCATTGCAATCAAGATCAGTACATCGTGGATACAATGCTCTGGCGCTTACTGACAGTTCCTTCTGTCCATGCTGAGGTAGTAACAGGGACAGGAAAAAGAATGATAACAGGAAGAAGTGTGGTGACATCACCACATTTATATTATATTGACATTAGAAGTGGCTCCGCGATGGTAGCTTATCGGATTTCTAGTTTCTCCATTCACAGATCCTGTCAGAGGATCTGTGAATGGGTGACACAGGCGTGTTGGAGGAACCACGCACAGCCGCGCTAAATTCAGTCAACAGCAGCAGCCTGTAGGTAGAAGAACCCCGCAATTCAGGTAATTAAGGAAGGGGGGGGGGGTTGCTATATGATCATGGTTCATGTTAGACCCTAAATATGGGTGTAACATGAAGCAGAAACTTAGCCTTAAAGTCCATTTCCACCTTTTTGTAGGTGATTAGCATGTATTGTGGTAATGAAGAGGTGCAGTGATGTATACATGTGCACATTTTCATGACTCGCATTGCAGGCTTTCTTCATATTTTAATGCAGTTTTTATTAGGCCTGAATCTTAGAAATTCAAAATGTTCACCACAGGAAACTCAGTCTGACACCAGGGTCAGATGTAAAGCAGACTATAAACGGCTCTCGCCCCCTCCCTGTTATTCATTGTAACACGATCACTAAACACCAGCTCTGCCTTTGCACCAAATACACTATCCTGGGAGGGGGAGTTGCCACTAAGAATACTAATGTATAGGGGGTGGGGAGGTGGAGAACTTTTAAAATTCACACATTGCTTGCAAAGCATAGAGGCAACCATTTGCATGAGGATATGAAGTGGAAAGCTGACAAAAAACATGAGTTTTTGTGTTCATATAAAGCAACTGCATATGCCTGCCTCATGTAAACTCGGTGTACATTGCTGGCATATGTTTTTTTTTTTTAAATACCTCTGCAAAGGTGGAAAGTCTACATCCATTTGTTCACCCCAAACCTGTTCAAATACATCCAACTCTGGAATCAAGAAAAGTTGCCGGCATTCGTTATTCCTCCAAACTATCTATACTCTCCATACATCAATACATAGGCATCCGGTGATGCGTTTCTGCCTTAAGCAGCCTTAGCCATCTTCAGACAGAAGTGATAGCCGTTTTGTGGAAGATTTATTTAAAGAACAGATTCTCTCTTGGCCGGTGACAGATTTCCCATTAGGCAGAGACGTTTTTCCCTTTGTAGCTATCAGCCAAATGTTTTCTCCTAATCAATAGAAACAGAATTTTATCATATAAGGTTACTTCTATGTATCAGACTTTTTATTGTAAACTAGATTAAGACAGGAAACTTGTCTGTGTAAAAGAGGCAATCCAAGGAGACAGATTTCCCATTGGACGCTGGAGATGTGTGCCTACAGGTTCGATTGATGGACAGCCTTATGCATGGACAATAAAGTGACCCTGTCACCAGATTTCTCTACGCAGGCTGGATATTTAATTAGAATGTGTGAAAGCGGCACTTACCGGAGCTCCTTTTATTCTGAAATGAATTTCCTGTTTGTCTATACATCTCTGTAGCTGTCTTCATCCTCTGACACATGGAAGCCATACTGTCGCATACCTTGGTGTAGTCTGAGTTGACGAGGGCAGCCTTCCTTGCACCTCCGATCCCAGGGCTGCTGGATGGCACAGGGACACGGAGTGGCACGAGTGCCGGAATATGTCACCGTAGTTGGATGGTTCAGGCTCTATGATGCTGAGAAGTCTCTCGGCAGAAAGCTTGCACCGGAGAGGAACACCTTGGAACAGAGTTCCAGAAGAGCCATGGTCAATACAGGCTCTGGCTTCCTAAATGGCTAAATCTTTGGCCGATTCCTGCTGAATGGGCTGAAATTGGGGGTGTTCCTGTCGGCACCGAGCAGCTCGACAAACTTTGACTAAAAATGAAAGGAGCCTGGTGGGAAACTGTCTGCTGACTGCAACTGCATCCAATTTTTCATTGGATGCAGTTGCAGTCAGCAGTTTTCCTTAATGCACAGTCGCTGTTCAGGTCTGCAGACAGCCGCTTGTATTGGCTGTCTGAATACAATAGCCGGCAGAGCAGATTCCCCATCCATGCTGTTTAGTGTGATGAGATAATCGAGTGATTTCAAAGCATGTTTGGCTAGCTTTAAAAAAAGCGTCAGAGGCTTTCTCAACCTGACTGCGAGCAGCTGCTCCAATTCTGTCATGTCATCCGGGCTACTGGCCGCTGCCTGGGAAACCTCGTGCTTGGTAATCTTCCATAATCCTAGAGCAGAGGCTGTGTGCAGAACGTGCCTGCTATATTCCTAGTGACACCTGAGAGTGTGCCAATTCTAACACCCAGCACAGGCAGCTTTTTCAGGCTTTATGTATACAAGATTTCCCAGGCAGTGGCTAAGAGCCCTGGTGACATCATTGCAGGGTTAGGTCAACTGCTGCTGTCAGGCTGCAAAAGGTTCCTACACTCCTGGAAGTGTTGGAGGTTGGCAAGGACTATCGAGCCACATGGGCCACCTGCTTTAAAATACAGGAGAAAAGCAGGGAAATATAAACAACTTTTATGCTTCCCAGATCGCTTTTTCCTGCGTTTAAATGTTCCTGGGTTTAGTTGCATTTACATTCCTTTAGGCACATTTACTGTAGCTGCGTAACATCAGGCGAAACACTCCTGCGACACAGAAAATTCTAGTTTGTGCAACTGCAGCTAGACAATGTACTAATGTGCCAATCAAGGTTTGCATTCAGCCATAGCAAAGAAGTACATGCTTCCAGGTGCGTTTTAGAAATGAGCTCCAAATGTACCTGGAGGCATGCATTTTCATTGCTGCGTGCATGGGGCCTAAGTGTTTTATTATGTTGCTTCTTAATTGGCACTGGAAGCTGGATAAAATTCTGTTCAATTGTGTTTAGGTGTTTCATTACCAGATGACGACCAGGAAACCGGGCAGAGTAACAAGTTCTGCCTTGTGGCCATTGGCAGGTTGCAGGTAAGTTGTTTTTGGAGTGATTGTCTAATACTATTAAAAAAAAAAAATGAGCATGCCAAGTTAAATAAGCGGAGTTCCAAATAGTAGCCCTATAGGGTGTTTTATAAATAATCCGCAGAACCATTGGCCCTGCAAATCTCCGTGAACACTTGTTTTCTGCGACTAGAGGCAAAAAGGAACGATTTTAGAGTGTTTTTTTTTCAGGTGGAATACAATGTAATACTGCATTATGGCCACTAGATGGACATGAGGAGCATAGCAAATAAATACTTCTTTCCTATGCTCCTCAGCTCCATCTAGAGGCCATAGTGCGGTATTACATTGTGTGTAAGGAGGGAAAGCCTCAAAAGGTCATTGCAAAAGAAGTTTGATGTTCCCAAAGTGCTGTATCTCAGCAGAAAAAACATGGTACCTGCATGAATCTATAACCGGCCTTTACGGCAGGGTGCACATTGGGAAGGCTTACAACAATACAAAAACACAGAAAATCCCCAGCTCACCTGCCAGCTAGCCTGCAACCAAACAAATTGCCCTGTCAACAGTATGCGTTAAAATCAGAGGTTTTAGTTGCACAAACTTTTGGCCAAAAATATGTAGAAGCCACACCGCCGAGATATTCGAGTTTCACCTGTATATTAGTTCATTGTTGCCTCTATCTGCACAGGACGTATGTTCACAGAGATTCGCAATGCAAATGCCTCTGCAATTTGTTTATAATAGACCCCTATGCGTCCTTAATAGACCCCTATGCGTCCTTAATAGACCCCTATGCGTCCTTAATAGACCCCTATGCGCCCTTAATAGACCCCTATGCGCCCTTAAAATATTATGTAACAATTATTTAGGTAGGCAGACTAGTCATAAGGTTAATGGCATGTTAACTCATACTGAAGCTGCTAAATCGGGTCTGGGCATCTAGGCTTCAATGGCCACGGGTAGCGATGGGACTAAGTTGAATTTCTATATTTATATTTTAAGTTAAAAAAAGACGAGAGCCCCTCAAAGTTTCGCAAGTCCAGAAAGTTCAATTGCTAGGTTGATAAGAAATCTGTTGTCACACCTGAACTATATTGATTGTCTACACCAGGGGTAGGCAAAACCCCAGCCCTCCAGCGGTGGTGCAACTACAAATCCCATTAGGCATTGTAAGACTCAGACAGCCACAGGCATGACTCCCAGAGGCACGATGGGGTCGGAGTTTGCCTACCCCTGCCCTATAGGAATCAATGTGTTAGAATGGTCAAACCTCAATCTGCCAAGCACCATAGACACTGATACATTCTCCCACTGTTCACAAAACACTTTGAGTTGTTGGATTGCTTTGTGGAGGGACCCCAACTGGGTGTAGGTGAATGTTAATCCTGAAGTAATAGCTGTTGGGGGTTTTTTTTGTTACAGGTCACAAGCTCTCCTAACTGTACAGATATGAATAGCCTATGCCAGCCAATAGAGTTTATCTCCCGACACAACGTGACTGGCATGTTCACATTTGTTGACCATCGGTGTGCCTCCACAGTGGGCTACCAACCACAGGTGAGTAGATACATGATTGAGTCGGTGTGTTTCTGCACAGGTTGTTGTGTTTAAGACAGGTCATCGGTCATCTAGTCTCTGGGTATTGCTCCTACATTTGGTGTTTTATGCTACATTACATACAAATTACAAACTTATCCTTGCAGTGGGTGTTACCTCTGCACTGCAATGGTTAAGTGCTCACTTCTTCTAGGGGCTCAAATAAAGTAGTTTTGCTCATCTGGTCCTTGATCCCGCAGGCTTACAGCACTCACCCCTTTCCCCCTCCGCTCCGGTTATGGATCGCCTCTTGGCATCCTCACGTCTAATGCAGGTTTGTGGACCTGCATCTGACATGATGATGTCAGCGATCCTTGAACCGCCAGAGCCCAGGGGAGAAGATGCTGTGGGCCTAGCAGCTTGGCGGGAGCGAGGATCAGGTGACTATATCTGCTTTATTTTAGCCCCCTAGACCAGTGGTTCGCAACCCTTCTTTTTTTTACCCCTTGGCAGTCAATTTGTATAAACTGTACCCCTTAGTGGGGCTAATAGTGAGGCATGTAGCATACCGCGCTGAATGGCAGGTATGGCCACATTGCACAAACATTAGGAGGGGCTCAAATGCCAATGTCAGTGGGAGGAAGGAGGGAGCTGGGAGGCTGGGGTTGGGGGTTATTGGGATATGCCATATTATGGTGGTGTGCCTAGTGTTATCTGGAGGTCTCTTTGGAGTGTGGTCTTTGACACTGAATTCCCCGGATCTAGGTCTCCTTCCACTTAAGAGAAACAAAGGGCACATCACTCAGCTGGGGACTAACTTAGGTGTTGGCAGCTGGAACTATAGAATGAGCATTGGAAAATGCAGCCGCAGGATTACTCTGCAGACCTTCTCCACACTTAGTCTCCGATTCCCCCCCTGCCATTGCAAAAATATTTTCTTGTGCCCCTAAATGTGCTGACAAGGACCTCTGAGAGTATAGGGTACTTGTATCCCAGGCTGGGAACCGCTTCCCTAGACAAAACAAGCCCCTTGCAGTGTTAGAGTAGCCCCACTGCGAGTTAGTGATATTCCATGAGTTCTTCTTTAAGTACACTTCAAACAGACTTAATCTGGGTGCTTAAAATGCCACGATAATGCTTTCCTGGGAGGCACAGTGACCTCCATGACACCTCAGGAACTGGATAGAGGCCAGAATCTGTGGTAAGGTTTTAAAATGTATTTTTTTTACAATGTCCACATTTTGGCACCTTTTTTGTAAGATTTATTCTTTTTATTTCAGGGGTGGGCGGCTGTCAATAAAGTGGACCTTGAATTTTCATGCAATCAAAGTATGTGATAAAAGGCAGAATATAAATGGGCTCCTATGCAGCAAATCTCTCAAGTGAAGGGAAATCCCCAATTAGACATTTGCAAAAAAAAATCCCCATTAGAAGAATCCCCCCAATTATATTTCTTCTGGTGTTGTAGAGCTTGGATGGATGTGACGAGCCTATGTTAGTATAGAACCGTGGTAGAACCTCGGCACTCCAGCTGTTGTGGCACTACACGTCCCAAGAGGCATAGCAAGACTTTGACAGTCACAGTGATGTCTCCCAAAGGCAGAGGCATGATGGATTTGTGGTTTCAGTGCAGCTGGAGGGTCAAGGTTGCCTACCCCTGATTTATATTAGTTTGCTTGGAGCTCACAGTAAATGTTCCCATTCTGATAAGTGTTATCTTCTCTTTAGGAACTCCTAGGGAAGGACATAGTGGAGTTTGCCCACCCAGAAGACCAGCAGCTTCTAAGAGACAGTTTTCAGCAGGTAATAAATTTAAATATGATTCTTTACATGTAATGATGCATAGCTAGATATGTTTGATTTGTATGTGAGACAGGATAGTTCAAATTCATTGAGCGCTCCAGACAGAACTGAAAATGAAACCTTTAGAAGTATAGAGAAAGTACAACCTAATTGCTGAATACTTTACGAGACGCTGTCACTCTAGCCATTCAGGTCAGTAGGTCAGTGGGCCGCTTTATGAAGACGCTGTCACTTTGCTGTGAATTATGCAAGTGACAGTGCTTTTTTTTTAAATAAATTCTTTATTTTCCAAACAGCACACATAAGATACAATCAGAAGCATAAAAGTATAGGGATAAATCGTAACAAACAATCCACAGAATGGCATATGACAGTGCTTTTTAAATGAAGCTCTACTTTGCCCATTTAGGACTAAGTAGAGGTGCACTGAAATTAAAATTTTAAAAACAAAAACCGAAATGAAAACAAATGTCTGGCGCAAACGGAAAATGTTTTTGTTTTTTTCTAACTTTTAAAAATTAGAAATTTTTACAAATTTTTTAAAATATATTTTAATTTATATTTATAAACTTTAACATTCTTTTATATTTTATTTATTTGTATTAAATTATTTTTATTTTTCACTTTGGGGAAATAATAAAAGGAGGAGAGCTCACAGCGCTCTCCTCCCGCAGCACTCGGCCCCGCTGGGACACATAGCAGCGCCCAGCAGGGAGGAGAGAATACACGGATGCACCGCTGTATCGGCAGAAAAATGGCACTTTCAGCATTTAGCCAAAAGTGCAATTTTTGTCCGATATGTTTCGGTGGCCGCTATATCGGTGCATCCCTACTACTAAGCAAAAGGGTCAACTTTATAGCTGGTCGCCAAAGCATATTACAGTTCTTTTCCCATCATTCACTTGCTGCTACCTTTATCGGCGGGGGGGCTTAGCAGAATCCCTGAGTAAGTTCTGAATGGATCTGTGCCGAAGTATGCACACGGCTGAGGACTCTCTCTGTGCCCTAGTGTAAGGACGCTTGAGCTGACAGTTTCCAAGCACCAGCTTTCTTATATGGGAGGAAGGAGAATGAATCACATTATGCACTGTACCCCAAAGTACCAACTATGACTCTTAGCACATGGAAAGTGAAGCAAAATGAAGGCAAGGGTATGAGCAGTAAAGTCAGACATTAAAGTGAAGCTTAGCTTTGCCTTGCATGGGCAAAGTACAGGTTTTTCATCTGCACATTGCTGTAGTGCCTCATTCCACAGCCTTCCCCTTTGTCTGTAGCCCAGTGATCCCAGAACGTATCTGCTGGTGATGCCGGTAGTTCACTGATTTTGTTTTTTTGTTTTGTAATGTCTTGCTTGGTATTGTTCTTTAAGATGCGCTAGGCTCCTAATTCTTTTTCTCTTTCAAGGTAGTGAAATTAAAAGGCCAGGTGCTGTCCGTCATGTTTCGGTTCCGGTCCAAAAACCACGAGTGGCTGCTGATGAGAACCAGCTCATTCACCTTTCAGAACCCGTACTCTGATGAAATCGAGTATATCATCTGCACAAACACTAACGTGAAGTAAGTAGATCTACTAGCAGAATCCGATTGCTATCCTGCATCATTTAATGGGTCTGGTGGGAAGAGTACCTGTCACTTTGTAAAGGTTATCGTTTTGCAAAGGGGGAAGGAAGAGGTGATAGATGCCATCTTTGTTCGGTTGGGAAGGTTTTGGCATATATAAAAGTTCTGTATGAAGCTCTGCTCCACCCTGCCTATAACTTATATGTGGATAGGTAGAAGCAGACATACGTGTACTTGTAAAAGAAAAATGTAATTTGGGCTACTGCTTAAAGTGACCCTGTCAGTACAAAACTGATAGAACTCATACCAGTAAAAAAATGAGGTTGTGTGTATACCCTTCTAGAGTAGTGTGTGTGGAAACACTGCCACAATGCTGCTTTCCAGACGCTTGCAAGTATACAACCATAGAGTGTGTAGAATACCTGCTGCCCCCCACTACATGCAGTGGTTCCTCCTGCCGGCTTGTGCATCTTGTATTGATGTATGAGCCGGTGGGAGGAACCAGGAGATAAGGCAATCAGTGATGCCAGTGAGCTGGACGAGATGCCAGCACCTTCCATCCCCGCCGTACCAAGCATCGCTAGCTCCCCCAACCAACATTACACGACATGATGCCCAGCATTACATGGCCTCTACCTGCGCAGCCAGGTTGTCATATCCAGACTACAGCGGTGATGTTATGACACCAGTGTTGCTGCCAGTGGGTGTTATAAGTGGCTGCACTCTCTTCTCTGCTGTGCCTGTATGCTACACTGCAGCAAGCCACCATCAGCCTAGAGGTGTAATGCCAACTGTGACATGTTTAATCAGTGAAAAAACCTGTATCCCATCACACTCCTAACAAGATGGAAGCCCAGGTACAACAGGGTGGGTGCGGCAGTGACAGCAGATGCCTCCGCAAAACACAAGTCTAAACCGGAAGTCACTCGCACTCCAATGCAATGCCAGTCAATCTTGTTGAAAATGCTACACTATTTCTAGTCAATAAACAAGATTGACTTAGCATTGCATTGGAGTGCGAGTGACTTCCTGTTTGGACATGTTTAATCAGTGCACACGTCACTAAACTTAGAGTATTGTGCAACTGTGCTCTTCACCCTCAGCCAGATCGCTAAAAGTTCCTCCATGTGTCTGAGGTGGTCACATGACCTCAAATTCTTAGTGAGATTTAAAGTATTTCCAGGGAACAAAAATAAATATAAAGGGGTGCACATTGACCAGGGGCAGAGGGTTATAAGCTGGAGATCTGCGGTAATTAATGTAGCTGTAAAATGTTTCACACTTTATATAATATCTTACGAGCGCAGCCTTTTAGGACGGGTAGATTCCTCTCTTGCTGAAAATTGCTTACACACCTTTGTCCTTTTTCCTAGGAACACCAGTCAGGAGTCGCGACCTGCTCTCTCCAGTACTATGCAGAGACCTCCACTGAGTCAGAGTATTGCCCACCCTCTGGAAATGGGCCCGGGACAGCTTGCCGCCAGGTTAGAGGCCTTATATTGTCACCTATTGTCACCTATTGTCAGATTTTGCAGGTTACAGAAAAGATTTAACAGGAAGGCACTGGTGATGTAGCCTTCCCAGGATTCATCGATGAGGCTACATCACCAGTGCCTCACTCATCCAGAAAGTGAAATAAACAGTAATTGTTAATAAAAGCAAAGCATGTTTGCTTAACTAATGAATGTTAGATTATTTCATATCAGCGTGCAGCGTTGCATCATGCTGATGGGATTTTTTTGTGAAAGGGGGTAAAGGTCCGCTTTAACAGAAGGGTTGGGTTTTGCTGCCACCTAGTGTTATGTTTTAGCAGTGCTGGGGTTGTGTTATCTACATTAGCCTGGAATGTAGTTTACATTCTTCTCTGACATTCTGATACTCTTCACTATCTGTCAGCTGGTGCCCTGGCATACCAGATGCATTGTGCTTAACCTCATCAATAGCTCTCTGTTAGCAGAATAAGAACTTGGTTATTTCATTGCCCAGATCCCTGGAGCTCTTATGCTGCTTGTGAAGCTTTTTAAAGTACAAAAATAGGAGAGAGGAGTGCAGGTCAAGGGGTAAAATACATCTGTCATAGCAACTAATACATTCCCCTCCAGAAATGTCTTGGGTTTAACCCGGGTCCCCCTTCCCCACTGCCCATATAAAAGGAAAATATTGCCAATGTCTGCTCAGCCTCTCCACGCTTCAGCGATGTCCCCAACTTACTCCCCAGTCCAGCACCGGGGGACCTCTTCTGGTCTGAACGACACTGACATTCTGCCAATTCCTGTGAGCCCATCCTGTCATGGTCACCCACCCCGGGGGGCGCATCATCACTCAGGCCGGGCTCACAGTACTTCAGGACTTCAAGACGTTGTTACTTGATCACCACTCGGTCCTGATTAGTGATTTTTTTGCAGCGTTTTAGCAAGTAGTGGGCAAAGTAGAAAAGTTGAACTTGCTATTGAGGTGCAAAGTCTGCATCAGTAAAAACTAGGGATGCACCGATACTAGTATCGGTATTTGGGTGAGTACTCGTACTTGCTCAAATGCTCGGATACCAGAACTTCCAGTCAGAGGGAAATTTGGAGGGAACATGGAGTCGGTTTCCTGGCCAATCAGGAAGCCGGCGGCAGGCAGTGACCAGCCACCCAGCTTCCTGATTTCTGGCTTCCCGGATTAATCAGCTAAACAGCATTGAGCCAGCTTCCCGGGCCAATCCACATCGAGCAGGCTTCCCGGGCAATCATTACCGTCCACCCGGCTTCCTGATTGCCTGGGAAGCTGCCTCCATGCTAGCAGAAGTACCAGTATCGGTACTCCTGTATCCGCGAGTACCGAAATATACATATCGGTACTTGTTACCTAAAAAACGATATCTGTGCATCCCTAGTAGAAACCTCTTAAGAACATCGAGATGGCCACTGCTGACTACCGTTGGAAAATGCCTGTTGCGCTGATCTGGTGTCAGTACTTTTGAGTCGGTGACCTGGAAAAACTAAGGACTTGTGACCCTCCTGCACTGCGTACATATACATGGTCCAGGTCAGTGACTTAGAAAGTATTGAAGCCGGAGAGTCCGCTTAACAGCCAACTCGCATTTTTAGAAGGTTGTCACTAGCAGAAGACACCCGTTGTTTCTAATTAAACTGGAATCTGGTTGCTCTGCGGGTCTTTACTTTGCACATTAGAGCCCATTCACACCTTGGCATCCTATTGCGTTGCATTATTGTGCAGGCTTGTGTGCATTAACATGGTTGCATTAAAGCTGATTTCCAGGATAGTGTTAACCCCCTTCCCCCTTGAATGCTATTTTTACTTGCCTAAAGTTGCTGTTACGTGACAGTCTAGTGCAGGTCTTCCCACTTCCTTTGTTTACATTAGGCAGGGTCCATTTTTGGGTGTCCACATCACAGCCTGCATGATGTGGACACTTCCAATTGGCTCTCCAGCGGCAGGGTCCTTTCAATATCCAGAAGGAGAGAGGTCAGCACAAGGGGAATGTAGGGAACTAGCATCAATGGGTTAGTGGTCCCCCACACTCAGAAAGAGCACTGACAAGGGACGCGGATGCCGGACCTCGGTGAGTGTAAATTCACAAGTTAAGGATTGGTTAGGTGAGATTGGTTAATATTATCCTGGAGTGGGGCTTTATGGCAACCCATTCATATAAGTGGGCTGCCAATGCAACAAAATGTCCAAAACGCTGCAATGCAGAAAACAGCAATGCATTGCAGCGCATTACTTTACGTCACAGTGTGCTTCGCCTTAGTACCTTGGTTCTCAACTAGTGGGTCGTGACCCTGTCTTCAGTGGGTCACCACATGCCTTCTACTTTTCTAGGTGAGAGGCTCCTCAGCCTTTCCCTAGCACTGTCAGTTCTTGCGCCGAGCAGCCATTCAAAATATGTTGCCTGATGCTGAGTGTCAGCTTAAGGTGGGGTGGGCTAGGGCTATGGCTCCCTCCATATGTGGATTGCTTACAGCTCCCTTGCGTGTCCTGTAGAAGTGCCTGGACCGGAGTGATGTCACATTCTGGCTTCTGGCACCTCTACAGTGTGTGTGTGTGTGTGTGTGTGTGTGTGGCCCATTCATACTAGTACAATGCGTTAATCGCACAGTACCATTCGATTACCATAAGATGGCACCTGAATGGTGCAGTGAATTGCCATTAATTTAAATGACACCCCAAATGCATCTCCCACCCACAGTTCTATCACCCACATCGGAACGTAATGCTGTGCATTCCATTGCAGTGCAACTTCGGTCACGACTTAATGACCAAGGACAAATGTGGGTCCTTAGGTTGAGAACCACTGCCTTCGTACATTGGGGTGTCATTTAATATGAATAGCACCACAATTTGCTAACGCATGTAATATGTGCTAACCCCTTCGTGACGGGAGACGTACAGTGTACGTCCCGTCACAAAGTGGCTATATGACTGGCCACGTACACTGTACCTAGCTCAGTCATGAAGGGGTTAAAGGGTGTTTTGGCAATGGTCACGTCAACACGTGCGTTACCGCAACACAGCATTTTGAATGGGCTTTACTTTTTTCAGAGTGAGCCCAACATCTACATGACAAAGCTTATTATATGAGCTCCAGACATGTAAACATTAAAAGATTATTATGTAATAATTGTTCTTTTTCATCTGCGCAGACAACAGCCTCCGCCGCAAGCAGAGCTAGATGTTGTAAGCAGCCGAGATAATCTGGGTACATACAACCATACACAGGTGAGTCACGCTCCATATATCAATCCTACTGACAGCTTCATTGCAATGCCCAGTGTTGCCAGTTTCTTATAATATGCTGTATGTATTTGATTGGGTTTTACATGGATTGTTGAGACTTAGGGGTCTATTCACAAAGCTGCCGAAGGATCTGGCCGTAGCTTCGGCCGATCCTTCGGCTAGCTTCGGCACCAGGACCCCTTCGGTTCAGGAGAACCGAAAGTGTCTGACAGCCAAGAAGAAATGCTCCGGGCAACATTAAAATCTGCAAACACAGCAAGCGCGTCTGAGGCTTTAGACCAGTGGTGGTAGCACTCCAGCTGTGGTGAAACTACAAATCCCATTGTGTCTTTGCTTCTGGGAGTCATGCCTGTAGTTTTCAGAGTCTTGCAAAGTCTCATGGGCCTTGTAGTTCTACAGCAGCTGGAGTACCGTCGTTGCCTCCCCCGATACAAGATATCAGCTACACTGTGGGTGCGGTTTTTTTTAATGAGTCCGCTGGTCATAGACCTGTGGTGTGAGAAGGAGCAGCAAAGCAGAAGGTAGATCCAGTGTATGTCATTATCAACAGGACACACAGGACACACACTGAGATTATTTACACATATAGCTAAAAATATGGGGTGAAAAAAACCATTCCATCGCTATAAAGCTGAACTTCAAGCAAGCAGCTCTATACATGGCTGAAACACCTATTCACAATTTTAATTCTGTAGAGCCATACTTGAGATCCTAGCTCCCCTGCCATACAGCATAGTCAAGCCCCGGCTTGTACTGCAGACTACATTGCAGTTGACCGTTACAACCTGGACTGGGGCCTGCCTTAGCCTGCATATTAGACAGTGAAGGTGAAATAGCTGATTGATGACATCCTCCCTCTGTTCTGCCCTTGTCCCCATGCAATGCAGTCACAAATCCAGCCACACATCACTTCTTCTTGCACTGGAGTCAGTATTGATCCTACCAGAAATCTAAAGAGCTGAAAATGTCCTGTGCTTTTGCTGACTGCTATCATTAACCATTGGACTACAGAACACCTCTTAATTGGGATAAGGAGAAGGGGAGGTGTTCTGTAATCCTAGACCCCATGTACTTCCTGTGCTAGTGTGACAACACTGCTCCATAGAGAGGGCTCTGGGTGGAGAGAGTATGTGAACCTGAATAATGCTTCCACTCCAACAACAGGTGGTATGTGACTGTTTCCTGTGACCTAGAACCTCTGGTTGAACTCATCTCTTTTTTTTTGTCCAATCAGGTTCCAGTTCAGCCAGTGGCATCAGCAGTTCCTGACCACAGCAAATCCATGGAGAAGTCGGATTCCCTGTACGGACAGGAGAGAGATCCCAGGTTTGCAGAAATCTTCAGTGGCATCAACTCAGGTGGGTCACGGAGCAGCTTGGCAGTATATATTCTTCATTACCATGCAGGCATGAGAAGGAGCTGGAGGCTTAAGGGTCTCCCTACTGCAGCAGAGGAGGTGAGACTGCATGGTGGAGGAGCGGCAGAGCTTGAAACTCTAGTGACAGGATCTTGCTGTTTGACTCCCAGCGATATAAGAAGCCAAGGGTAGTTCATCCACCAATAACTATAAACAGTTCTAGGTGGACTTGATATCATATCCCCTTGATAACTATGGGACTTAAGCTGGTCATACACCCCAAGAAGTTTCTTGTTCAGCCAAAGAGTGTGGATGGAGGAATCTCCCTCACCGGCTATTGTATTCTGGCACCCGGTACCCATCGCTATGAGAATATCCCAACATTGACTACATCTGATTGGCTGCAGTCACTGTCCAGCCGACAATTTTCCACCCAGCTCCTTGGATTGAAAATTTTACTTTTGTAGAGCCGGATAGTGCCAGCAGGGCAACCCACAGGTCAAATCTCACCCAATTTAGCAGGCAATGGATGAAGTTCGATCTGTGTATGGCCAGCTTTAGATCCCATTGAAGCCTTCCTGCAATGGGGTATGGATCTACACTCCCTGGTCATAGATATTTAAAGCACAGACACAGCATGAATAAGCTAAATGGTTTTAACTGCTTCAGCGCCGCAATATGTTTTATAAACGGCAGTAAACTAAAGCGGTTATATCAAGATCTTGGTATCATTTTTTACAACCGGTGCCAGGCTGTCACATACAAGGGTTTGGCCAGCTATAGAGCCGCCTGATCACTTGTATGGTGCTGGGGAGTGTGTCCGTCCGTCCCCCTCCACCGCCGCTGCCAGTTACACCAGGCTCCACTGTCCCCCAGGTGGGACTGGGACTACCACGGCGGGTCTGTGTACCTTGAACGGAGGGAGATCAGTGTGCCATTTCTTTGACACAGTTCCAACTTGTGAGGACATGATCTAATGCAGTGTTTTTCAACCTTTTTTGTGCAAAGGCACACTTTTTTCATGAAAAATCACGAGGCACACCACCATTAGAAAATGTTAAAAAAATTTACCTCTGTGCCTATATTGACTATATATAAAGTAATTCTCTTGAATAGGAATCAAATAAACACAAAGAAATTATTTTATAATTACTTTATTATGAAATAATAAAGTATTTTATAATTGTTCATATTTCTGTTCAATCCATGACTTAACTTCACACTTCACACAAATACGTTTTAAATTCAAACTGTAGCACTGACGTAGCCCTGGTTAAAGTAGGGTTCAGTGGGGTCTCACTAGTCTTGGTTAAACCCCACAGAGCCCTGGTGAGACCCTACCAAGCCCTGCTTTAACCAGGGCTCTGTAGGGTCTCACCAGAGCTATGTGGGGGTCTCGCCAGCCTGGTTAGAGCCCTGGTGAGATCCCACACTGCCCTGGTTAAACCCGGACTCTGTAGGGTCTCACCAGCACCAGGGCTCCGTAGGGTCTCACCAGGGCTCTATGGGGTCCCACCATGGCTATGTGCAATTTCACCAGCCTGGTGAGACCCCTCAGAGCTCTGGTGAGACCCCACAGAGCCCTGGTTAAAGTAGGGTTCAGTGGGGTCTCACCAGGGCTCTCTGGGGGTCTCACTTGGGCACTGTGGGGTCTCACTAGTCTTGGTTAAACCCCACAGAGCCCTGGTGAGACCTACCAAGACCCTACTAATGTTCCTGTGTCAGATGCCGCAGATTCAGGTAGAGAGAACTAGCTCATGCACTGTCCAAGATGAACAGGTTCCATCCGAGGCTTCTATAGGAATTACAAGAATTGCAAAACTGACATGCCTTGTTTTAGTAGGCTGAATTTTTAAGACATGTCATCTTTCCCATAACAGACCAGAACAAAGTACTCAACACCAGTGGCGTTCCTGGCAACCAGCAACTTTTCCAACAAGCCAGCACTTTCACCCCAGCCCCTCGTACCGTGGATAGCTTTAGGTAAGTCGGGTTTGCTATCGGATGCCCATAATGCATTGTACGGTATGACCTCAGTGAAGGACCAGGATAATTAATACACATCATAGCATTGTACATGTTGAAAAGTTATTCCTCACTACATTGTCATTGTGGAATGAAATCGAACCTATATGAGGATTTTACAAATGTCAGTTTTTGTCTCGTCCTTAAAGAGAACCTGTTACTTGGCATAGTAACTCATACTAAATCCACAGTTTGTGAATAGACAGGAGCGCTCATTATAAAGGCTTCCTGTTCATTCATAACAGGGGCTGCAGAAAGAGATTTAGGGCTCCACACTTTTTTTCTACTTTAAAAGGATAAAAGCAGGGGGTCTGTTTAGACCCCTGGTATGTCCACAGAGCCCCTTACAGTAAAGTAAAAAAAAGAATAATAAATGCAAATAAAATAATTGTAAAAAAGTTTTATAAGGTTGGGTGGAAAAAAAGTAATTTTCGGTTTCGGCCTGACAACATTTTGAGTTTTGGTTTCAGTCTAAAAATTCAATTTCAGTGCATCCCTAGTTTACTTAAATGCCCCCTTCCCTAGGAGCACATGCTCAGGCTTCCTTTGCTTGTGCTCATCTTTGTTCAGCTGCTGAGACTAAGCCAACCCTGTGTAAACTCAATCCTTCCAGTGGGGGTGTACACAGGGGCTGAGGACTCTTTGACCCCAAGCAACACTTTCACATGGGAAGCAAATCGCATCTTCTTTTATACACCGAGTATTTTTTTTTTCTTGCGGTTCCAGCAGCTGCTGGTTTGTTACAAACCTGATGCATGCTGGGGGTTGGGGGCGTCTGTCCTGGGCTGGCCCACAATTTTGTTTGTTTGCCACTGTAGGCAGCAGTATAACCCAAAAGTCTCAGACTTCCTGGGTCCTTCAGCGGACTTCAAGAAAAGGAGTAATAAAATCCTATTGATTATTATGTTCCTTGTCATTGTAGGAATAGTGGAATGGGGTCTCCAGCCAACATAATCCAGCAGCCCGTTTCTGCTGGGCAGATCCTGGCTCAGATATCACGGCACACAAGCCCCACACAAGTCACCGGCACCAACTGGAGCTCAGGCACAAGGCCATCATTCACAGCACAGGTATGGAAAACCATTACTGCTCCCAAATGTATTTTGTGCTGCTCTATACACATGTAGTTCTGTTCATTCTTGTTATCCAGGTGTTCAGGTTGGTGACCTCTCTTTTCTTTGCTGCTGTTAAGTTTGGTCAGCCTCTGCCCTGCTAATGTTTTAGCTATTGGCTTTCTTTTGATTGTAAAAGAGTTTTTTCCAGCAGTTTTCTCATTATGCTGTACCTACAGGCTAAAGTGAATGTTTGCAGCAGCTCCACGTACAGTAAAACCTATTAAACAAAAATGTTTCATTTATGTAATCCTAATAAACCAGACTTATAAAGTCAGCACCAAAGGGTCCCTGTCCATAGTTTCTGAGCTGCATGATGCTCCTTTGGCTCTCTTGCAAGCCCCAAAACCTAGACGTGCACTTCCTGGTATCCTTGTACCCCGGTATTGAGACCTCTGCTGACCTATCCCAATCCGATGATACATTGCCAGAACCTCAGCAATCAATAGAGCAGCTTCCACATTGAAATGGTAGATGGTAGGCAGTGTGTGTCCTTCAAACCACAGTATAGTTGAGTCTTAGTGTCCCTATGTTTTTGGTACTTCCCTGTCACACAAAATGACAGGTTCGCTTTAAGCACATATCTGTGTTGGCTTTATTCCAACAAGTTCTCCCTGTAGCTTATAAAAGTCTCTGTAGTGTGATTACACCAAGGACAAATTAATATGGAATTCAGGAGCCGGTCTGTCCAGTCCAAGAGCAAGCAGGATTTTTTTTTAGGAGCTCCATTGAAGACAAGAGAAAGCCCTCAAAAGTTAGATGGCGGCTCTACTTTATAAGGAGCAATGGCTACCTGGTTCCTGGCATTTGTCCAGCCCTGCATTGGGTGGTCAGGCTTGGTAGTATAATGTGTAGGCATAGGTTCAATTTCTAGTTTACAGTGATAGAGCTGACATTGATTGTTCATGCCCTTTTTATGCATGGGGGCAATGAATTTGAATTCTCCAACAACATGCACTGTGTTTGTCTTACCGTATATACTCGAGTATAAGCCGTCCCGAATATAAGCCGAGGGGGGGAAATAATGCAGCTAATGGTAGATAGATACCAATAAAATGACATTAATATTTATTTAAAAGAAAAATAACCTAGCTCTGTAAGTGGAAAAGGGGGTACAGGGCTACATACAGATCATTTAATACATTCATGTTAGTATAATTGTAAATGTATTGTCTGCACTGTATTAGCAGTATATACTCTATATAGAGTATATACTGCTAATACAGTGCAGACAATACATAATTGGTTACTGTAATAAATCCCCCCAAATCTCCCCTCACTTACTGTGATTCACTGTGCCGGAGCAGGGACGAGTCAGCGGCGCGCTGGTCCAGTGGGAGGAGCTCCAGGTGGGGTCCTAATTTAGCTGACTAGAGGTGCCTGCCCGATAATTACAACCCCACCTGGAGCTCCTCCCACTGGACCAGCGCGCCGCTGACTCGTCCCTGCTCCGGCACAGTGAATCACAGTAAGTGAGGGGAGATTTGGGGGGATTTATTACAGTAACCAATTATGTATTGTCTGCACTGTATTAGCAGTATATACTCTATATAGAGTATATACTGCTAATACAGTGCAGACAATACATTTACAATGATCCTCTGCTAACATGAATGGGTTAAATGATCCGTAGTACATGATATGTAGCCCTGTACTATGGATCATTTAACCCATTCATGTTAGCAGAGGATCATTGTAAATGTATTGTCTGCACTGTATTAGCAGTATATACTCTATATAGAGTATATACTGCTAATACAGTGCAGACAATACATTTACAATTATACTAACATGAATGTATTAAATGATCTGTATGTAGCCCTGTACCCCCTTTTCCACTTACAGAGCTAGGTTATTTTTCTTTTAAATAAATATTAATGTCATTTTATTGGTATCTATCTACCATTAGCTGCATTATTTCCCCCCCTCGGCTTATACTCGAGTATATACAGTATTTCTTCCACGGAGGGATTTTTTCATTCTCTGTCTTTGGCCAAGTTGGTATTTACCTGATGTGTTTGCAGACAGTAATATGAGATATCATTGTGTTCTTCTCAGCAGGCACCAAAGACCCAGTCTCCTTCATTTGGTATGGGCAACTTCTCGGCAACACCTTCCAACTTCAGCCCATTGTCCTCCCAGAGTTCCACATCCTCTCCAGCCGGTGTTGCCTACCCTAACCTAGCCAGCAGAACCAACAGCTTTGGTAAGCCAATGCTTCTGTGTGGCCATCCTGTCATGCATGCTATATCCCAGTGCACTTGTACCTGGTGCCACTGATTCTCTACAGATGGTCAAAGCTGGGGAGAGTTTGTTTCATAACAGAGGATCCTGCAGCAGTTTTCACATATAACAAATTTATCACATCCACGAAAGCCAGTCACAAGCATCAGGTCGTATCTCAGATGATTGAATTTTGAGGAGACCTGACCAATGTGTGTCTAGCTTACTAGAGTCCTTGGTTTGGCTAATGCAAGACCGTCTAAGAGTTACTATTTAAAGTGCACCTGTCATATAGAAAACAAGTAACAGTCAGCTGTGTCTCTAAAAACCTCACATGCAGCTAGTAGCTTAAATATCCTCTGCACTGCACCTTGGGGGCCTCTCCAAATCAAAGTGCATTTTCACTTTTTAGAAAGATATGTCTTAAGCATGCCTGCTATATACCACAATGATGGAGGCCAGTGAGAGGCACCTGTATGGTGTTTTGTAATGCAGTAGAAGTGTTGTTTAAGCTCAAGACTTTTGGGGGGCCCCCAGGGCACGTGCAGAGAAATTCTAAGGCACTAGGGGTATGTTCTGGTGATGCCTGCTTTGACACCCACCGCTTATGGGTGAAGAGTTTGAAGAAGGCAGGAGAAGTGAACAATCTAAGCCAAAATAGCCGATTTGGGAAAATTTAGCTAATTTTCCAGTTAAGCTGCGTAGTCCTAGATTGTTCACTTCTCCTACCTTCTCCAAACTCTTCACCCTTTTGTGAATAACCCTGTTAGTGTTGCACTGCGGCAAGTGAGATATAGTTTTTTTTATTCCCGGTAGATGATGGGCAGCTAAACCATCTGAGTTTCCTGTATTCCTCCAAAACTTTGACGATGATATGTTTCCTCTTGCTTTCTCAGGTCTGCTCATTTGTTGAAACCGATATAAATGGATTTGTAATTTATTTCATATAATAAAGAGTGCAAGAGTAGTGGCAAGGTATGGATACTCAGATCATCAAGGAGATCTCACAGCAGAGTCCCTATGAGCTATAAATAACAAGCCAGTGCTGGTTGGACTGATCCTGTTGGAAAAAAAGCATCTGATTGGGTGCATATTATCTTCTACCCATAGGTGTGCCTTTTCAGCAATGGCAGGCTGTTAAAACCATGAAATCACATATAGTGAAATATGTATGTAAACCCAGATGATGATTGATTTTCTATATTTTAATCTATCCAAGTTTGGAGGTGCAGTTTTGACTGTGCTGCAGATTTTGAGTTTACAAATCGTAATCAATCAGTAAGTTCGACAAGCAGACCCAAGTATAGTTTGAAACAGTTGTTAGGTATGCCCAAAATGGGATTGAAGGAAAACACATGACTTAGGACAAAGAGTATGGAACTCCCTTATGCTAATTGTGAATTACTTTTAAGGTAAAGAGCCTAAAGGTTATTTTAAAGGAGAAGTATGAGGTGAGTGCTTTTCACTCACCTCATAGTTCTAGCCGACCTGTGACAATGAGACTGTCACAGGTCGGCTCAGTAGATCCGGAGGTGAGCGAACACATACCGGTGTTCGCTCACCTCTCGATCCTGTCACGGCTCTCTGCTGTGACAGGGGAGGGGCTGGATTCCCCTCTCCCCGCTCCGATCTGCCAGCGCTGACTGGCGGAACGGACAGGGGATGGGGCGGGTACACCTGGCTCTGCCTCTAGATAGGCAGAGCCAGCTGTATCTCACGCAGCTGGGCGGATCCAGACATAATTGTCGGGATCCGCTTTAGCTGTGGCGTCTCAGTATACCGCGAGCAACAGCTCGCGGTATACTGCGGCGTCTCGGTATACTGCGAGCTACAGCTCGCATTATACTGAGCCTAGGGTGACAGGAGGACGCTAGTTTGTGTCCTCCCGTTACCCTAAGGAGATCTATGGGGAAAAGCCTTAACCCCATAGTTCTCCTTTTAAAGTAAGAGCATGAATATAAGGACGGGGAATGATCCTTCAAGGGACACAGACACACACACACACACACACACACAGCCTCACACAGAGATACACACACACACCCCCACAATCTCCCACAGACATACACCCCCACAATCACACAGAAGACAAACACGTGTTAGGACTATTTTTTTTACTTACAAACTAAAGACACGTTTCTTAAGCATCTTATAGACTTCTGTTGTAAGATATACTATATTTTGTAATCATCAAACATCTTATAGATTCATTCTGTAAGATATACCATATCTTGTCATTATTTGTAACTTTGCAATTAAACACATTTTTGAATTTTATGCAAGAACGGAAGCAATCTTCTCTTTGAACTTCTTCCACCTTATATCTTCAAGAAAATAATATGACATAAAAAAATCATATTTCTACACAGGCTGACTTACCAAGATGGCAGTTGAGGCTTTCACTTATTTAGCCATGAGCATGTCAGCTAAAATGTATTTTAATAGTGTAACGTTGCCTTGTCTTTGTACCTACAGATGTCGGACAGTCGCGGGTTCCATTCCAAACACGGGCGGCCGATGCAGTAGGAGTTTGGCCTACGTGGCAGAGTCAACACCATGGGCCGAGCACCACAGACACACACGTCCAGCAACAAGCTCCCCAAACAGAAGTTTTCCCGGTGAGTTCTACCTTAAGCGCTTTCACTAATACAGCTTATGAGACCATAAAGCTGCTCAGTCTTTTACATCTGCCTTAGAGGAAGTCTTGTCCATTTTCACAATGTTTGCTTTTTTTTTTTTTTTTACCTGGAGCATGCTTTCGATCCAGGGGGACAGGCACCC